CGTATGTCGGGCGTACATGCCAGGTATGCCGCGCATACGCATATAGAATGTATTCCTTTAGGCTTTTGAGCCTTAAAGGGTTGGGCCTGACTCTTGGGCCTCACAGCCCACTGTAAAGCATAAATTGGACCTGGGAATCTGGAATTGGAAGCATTCGGCCCTTGGGGCCGTATTTTTCCGATTGGGATTATTTTGTTTTGGGATAAAGACTTATTAAAAATTGTAAGAAATCCCATTTGAAAGGTTGGGCCCAATTTGGAATTTGGGCCATTGGTGGACCCTTAGGGAGTATCGATGGACACTGGGTGTGTTAGATTTAATGCGTTACGGTGGGATTTTATGGATGTTCTTAAATTGGACCTAGGGGTAAAATGGTCATTTTACCCCAAGTAATGTTATAGATTTTGATTTAACGTTAATATGACCATGATAGCCGGAACCCATCGGAGCAGCTGTTAAAGACCACTTTCTGCGATTTTAGACATGCAGAACCACAAGGTGAGTTACCTTCCACTAGCGGTGGGTCTACGACCACAATGCCAGCCCACCAGTAGGAGTTGTATGTTATATGATTGTCTTTGTGATATTCATCTAGGTTGTTGTTACCTATTATATGCTAGTATGATATGATGTTATGCTATAATAATAGTAAGGGGTGAAATAGTCCCCGGTTATTGGTCGATAGGATCGAAGGGGTAGATTAGTGCCCAACTATGTTAGATAGAATATGATATATTTGATTTATGTGTTTATATTATGCTTTATGTGGTAGTGGTAGGGGTGAAATAGTCCCCGTAACCGGTTGAAATATACCGGAGGGTAGGTCGGGCACCCAGATATACCTGGCAGGGTAGTTTGGGCACCCAGATATGTCTGGAAGGGTATGTCGAGCACCGAGATATGCCTGACAGTATGTGATTATGTGGTATGGTAGGGGTACTCACTAAGGTTCGTGCTTATAGTTTTCAGTTTTGTTTTAGGTACCTCTTCATCGAAAGGGAAGGAGCTGGTGCGGTAGCTGCACATCACATGCACGTCAGATTTCTGCATTATGTGATTCATGGGATTGTACTATGACTTTTATGACTATTCAATGTTTTAACTTTGAGACATGATTTGATGATTTATGGTTTGATATGTTATAGAAAATGTTTCCAGTAACCAGTCTTATAAATTACTTAAATAAACCGAAATTTTTGGACTCAAAATTTAGGATATTACAGGATCTTTGCTTCCTTCTTCCACCTTCTTCCTTCTTTTTTTTTTCAAAAACACTACACTAGCTCAAAAAATGAGAAGGAAAGATGATTAGGGTTTCTTTCAGGGCTTGAAGGGTGGAGGGTGAGCAAAACCTAGCCCCCTCATTCCTTTAAATAAGGATCAAAACTGGGAAGATTAGGGTTTCATTCCAATGATCAACACGTTGTGCTCCATGAGGCAACGTGTCATGTTGCTCTTAATGAGACTCATGTTTTTTCTTATCTGGACACGCCATGTTGTTGAATCCAACATGCCGTGTCCAATCCTCAAAGGTGATTTATACCCAAAGTTTCTCCTCAAATTACGAGTGTTACAACTTTCCCCCACTTAAATTGGATTTCATCCTCAAAATCATTCCTTGCTATCTCCTTTACCGAACTAAATGATTCTGAATGAACTCCTTGAATCCAAAAAATAATGGGGAAGTCACCTCGCTCTGATGACCACCTGGTATTATAGGTGTTGAACCCAAAATAGATGATATCACAAGCCCTAACAAGAATAAACCTCAACTTTTCCTTAAGCCAACATGTATCCACCCTCTATACCTGAAATCTGGAGTCTCAAACATGTTCTGAATCCCTGATACACCTCCCATACTGAACTATTGCTAATTCCATTCCACTTACCCCCCCCCCCACCAAATTGACTACTCAACTTCTGATAACGTGATCTTCCCACTATAAAACAGAATCATAGATCGTACACGACTACCGACAACTCTTCACTTAACACAAGTAATTAGATATTCTTTCGAGACAAAGCTCATTCTGATTACAAAATTTCTAGGGATATCATGAACAATGGGAGAAAAAATGGGACATGTGTTGGAATAGTGTCTAAGGCTGCAACTATATTTAGTAAATACTTGACCCGATTGAGCATAGTCCTTTTGGGTTGCCTTCACCATAGCAACTTGATAGGATGATTTATAATGAGAGTTGAAATATTATATGCTATAATAATATTATTTGATTAATATAAGTCATAAATTAATTGGGAATTAATTTGGTGACTTAAAGAGATTAATTAAATAGAAGGGCTTAAACTGTCAAATGTGTGATAGTTATACTTTAGGTTATAATTCCTTATGGATAATATGGTGGGCGATTTTATGGCTTAGGATAGACCTAAAATCGTCCAAGGGTTATCATGAAGGGATTAGGATTGCTTAGGGATTAAGTTATCCAATTAGGGTTTAAAGGTAAAACTCTGGAAGCCTTACAAGTATAAATAGACCCTTGGGGTCATGGAAATTGGCACCCTTGTCTGTAGGGAAACCCTGGCCGATTTCTAAGTCCTTTCCCACTTTCTCAAATCATCATCTTGCTAGTTGGTGTTTGTAAGCCATTAGAGGAGTGACAATTGTAACTCTAAAGCTCCATGAACAAGAAGATCAAACAAGTGATTCAAGGTAAACTTATATCACTAATTTCTCAATGTTATTATGCTAGAATAATCATTATAAGTCTTGGATTCATGCATGTTCAATTAGAGAAACCTAGATCCAAGCATTAGGGTTTGTATGTGCATATAGGAATGTTCATATAGCGAAAACCCATCAGTGGTATCAGAGCCTAGATTGGTTTCTATTGAATTGATGCATTAGTTGCTTGTTTGATGCTTGCAAAATTCGAATTTTGTGTTTCTGCTTGATGAACTCAGCGAGTCCCATAGTGTACTCGATGAGTAGGCTAGACTTGACGAGTCCATTGGGGTACTCGGCGAGTCCAAGCGTCAAGAAGTGATAACTTCGGGATTTCTTGTTGTTTATCTTTCAGATACTTGCCTTTTTCATATTAGATCAATATAAATCCGATTTTATGATATATTTGAGTATATCCTTGACCTAATTGAATATATTTATCAATTAATTAAATATTAGATTCCTTATGTGATAATTGACTAATTATTTTAATTAAATTGGTAAATTGTTTTGCAAGAAATAATTAAATAAATCAAATATGGATAATTATGTGATTAAATTTTAATTTAAATTATTTGTTATTTCACTACTAGAAAAAACAGCCTTTTACGACGCGCAAATGCGCGTCAAGGAAGACCCTATCATAAAGAGAGACGACGCGCATTTACGACGCTCATTTACGACGCGCAATTACGACGCGTGTTTACGACACGCAATGCGTATCAAGGAAGGCCCTGTTATAAAGGAAGACGACACGCATTCGCGTGTCGTAACCTTGCGACGCGCGTGTTAATGACATGCAATGCGTATCAAGAAAGCTCCTGTCAAGAAAGGCCATGTCATAAATGAAGATGACACACATTTTTGCGTATCATAATTTTAAATGTTTAAAAAAATATATTATTTATAGATTTACTTATTTTCAAATTAAATTTGTATTTAATGTTTCATAATAGAAAATAAAATATCATATACAAAAAATAGAATCCATTGCATAAATTTAATGTCATACAAATAATCGTTCCATGGAATGATAAAACAAATCAATAAAAGTTGTAACAAAAATTTACAAACTAACTAGATACAAGAAATATAAAAAAAATATACCCTCAAATGTTTTTCAAAGTCTAATATCCATGTCAGCTCTTCAACTCACTTCTGCAACCATTGGTGGTTGTTGAGTTCACCCGACATCCTTGTTGGAAAAATCAGGGTTTCCTTCAACTTCTCTCACTTTGTCCACACCCTCAAGCCTCTTTACTGTAGCCTCATGAAACCTTAATCTCAATTCAAATCCCTGTATCTAATCTTCCCTTTGTCTTGCCCACAAATACCCCAAAATAAAGTAACAAACCTTCTAACTAAATCATAAAAATATACATTTTCTTGTAATAAAAGGATAAGAACCAACTATGTTAAGTTACATACCAATTTCATGGCAGCGTGGCTTTCAGTGGTTACTACCTGTAACATCAGGTCTTTAACTTTTTCCCTCCTAAAAAATGAAAGTAGCATTTAGCCCAAAATATACATCAACAAATTACAAGATACACCTACCAGTGTGTTGCATGTAAACACAACAGAGTCCTCTTCTTCTATAGTAGTGTTTAATAGTTGAAAACAATAAAAAAATGATTATTACTAATGTATCAGGATTCTATAATTTATAGTAGTGTTTAATAGCAATAAAGATACATTATCAAAATTAATTACCTGATGGAGACATACACTTAAATGCAAAAAGTGTAGGAATAACCTCAACAGAAGATGCTAAATCCAGAATATTGAAATCAAAGAGAAGGTAGGAATCAAAATATAATAGAAAAAAAATTCTATAATCGAGTAGATTTTTCAAAATGTGATAGAGAGAGAGAGAGAGAGAGAGAGAGAGAAACCTGATCACCAAGTTGTACTGCAAGAACTAAGTCAATCCCCTATAAACTAGCAGAGTTTGGACTTCAGCAGCAGTTGCCTAAGAAAATAAAGAGACATCAATAAAAAAAGATGTTTTTTAATATTATGAATAAATGAAATAAGGTGAATACCCAAATTTGTCCTTCTGGTGACAACTGTTGAAGCAGTTAGCGAAAGCTCCAACATATTTTAGATGAAAGACTTCACTTGCATTCAATAAAGTTATTTCAAACCTTCAAACATCAAGTTGGCAAATCAAATATCTATATGAAAAACAAGAAAAGAAAAACACAATCCAAAATGTTGGAATCGTTCTTAGAAGATTTAGGGAAGGAAAAAAAAGCCTCATTCTGATACGATATAGCTGCCCTTGTACCTAAAATAACATCAAAATAAAAAGTTAGTGGGAGATGGTGGTGGAGGTATGAGTACGGGTATGTTGAGAAACTTCTTCACTGAGGGTTTCTTTATTACTAAAATAAGAATAACATTAAAAAAATCAGAAGTTAATTCAAACAACATGATCTAAGTTGGATGATTGGTGTAAATGTAACAATGTGCATATGGAAGGGCCCACGTTATTAATGAAGCTTTGAAACTACTGTCTGTTGGGCCATAGTATATTGCTTCACGTGTCACAACATGTAAAACCTGAGTGTGTGTGTGTGAGAGAGAGAGAGAGAGAGAGAGATAAAGAGATTCCAGTATGTGTATGAGAGAGAAAGAGAGTAAGATGTACCTTAGAAAGCAAAGGGATTCCGAAATTCTGAAGTAAGAAAGAAATCTTATCCCAAAGGATTTTTTTTCTTCATGATTAAGATCCCCAAAACATAGAAAATCGACATTGTTCAAGTTCTTGAATTCTTTTTTCAGATGTTCATCATCACACCGACATAAAAGACCAAAGGATTCATGTAAAGAAATGCATTTATCTTGTACAGTTGGAAGTATTGTCGTTTTCTTTTTGTGTATGCTCTTCTTCAAGTAGCCAATATCTTCAGAACTCAGAATCCCAGATTCCATTCCATCATTCCACTGTTCAAAAACATCGGAAACCTAACAACACATGAAACAAAAAATGTTATTGCATTAAATGGACAAAAGTAAAAAAAATTCCAATTTGTGACACTCACTGTTTTAGCTGCTTGTGATGGCAAAATTGTGGATGATAATTGTAGCAAAGATTGAAGGTAGCCAAGGAGAGGAGGATTTTCAGCTACTCCAAATTTAGTAAAAAAGAAATAATGAAGGCCAGGGTAAACATTGCATAACATCTTGCTGAGAGGACTATTAGTCAAAGGTTGGTCAACTGTTGACTTTAATTGTTCCATTGACCCGGTGGAATCATGCCAAAATAGTTCTATTAACTTACTTAATCCATATACTAGGGAGAACAAGTTGGAGGTGATCCAATAATAGAAGAGGGCCTTCATGAAAGTGAAAATGGTATTTGAATTTGAGGGATGGGTAGTTTAGTAATTAAGAAAGAGAAACTGCAGTGAACTAGCCTTTGGGAAACTTGTAGTGAGGGGGGCTATAAAACTATCTCAAATTACATGGATAACATGCTTGATGGATCCCACTTCTAACTATTTATTCATGTATATGTTTTCTCATATCTATATATGTATATGCATGTACACATCTATATTCACATGTATCCACATATATGTATCTGTATACTACTCTGTTTTGACTAAGAAGAATACGAAACAATTCTAAACAATTCATAGTTATACAGATAGATCACATATGATATAGTAGCCTGAATGGAAGGTACAGTACGTGGTTTCACGAGCAACTAAAGATATACCAGGCATTCTTGTTAGACAATCCTGAATTGCAACCCCATACTCATCTGCACCTCTGTGGAGAAATTCAGATTAAGCCTCTGCACACTTGCATTGAATATCCTAGTGAATTACTCATGTTTCAAGTGAATAATTGAATGGAATAAACGATCATTACATAATCTCTGCATGTGTTTCTTGTTGTTTGATATCACCAATTGTTCTGATGGCATAAAACAAAGTCACATGGTGTACCTGAAAGAAATTTAGTTCTAGTAAATTACTGAAGGTTCAGAAACAGAGCCTTCTTCTTCATGTACACTTGAACGTGCACTTTTTTTGTCATCTTCTACAAGGGAAAGTGCACTTCTCTCATCTTCTTTAACAAGGGAAAATGCAATAGCTCTGTTAATTTCTTCCTGATCAAAGTCTGACAATGCATCCTAAATTTAGGACAAAAAAGTACAGAAATTTAGTACAATTTTAGACCACATACATTAATATAGGTATATAGAGATAGATGTTATTTAACATGTAAGAAAATGTTAACTACCTTTGTAGAAGGAGGCTCCTCCCAAATTTCTTCGTTTTCATATATGTCATGATATCGACCTTCTGAGATTCTATGGCTGGAGCTGGACCCTTTTAAAATTTTAGTTAGCCAACCCATACTCCTAATCATATCAATCAATTAACGCTTTTTGTTAGAATAATTGTGAACCTATATGTTGAGAAAAAAGGGCGATCTTTAGGATTGGTAATTTTATAATTGATCTTAACTTCCAACACCCCAATCAAATACTGAAAGGGTTCAACCACTAAAGTATCTAAAAAGTGAAATAAATGAGGAATCTTCCAGATAGACTTTGTTAATTTTGACGTCAGAGTGTAATAGACTATAGATAATGTTTCTGGGTGTGGAAGTCTGACCTTACGCAATTCAAAGAATCCGCAGAAACCAATGAAGCTGATGAATCCACAGAGAATCAAAGGAACCCAGTTCACTAATGAGCATAATCATCAAAAGAGAATCGAAGTCCATGGTGACGATTGTATGCGAGTCGCCAATAAGAACCCCCAAACCGCATATGTTTACAATTTTATGCGAGTGATGGGCCTATGTATACGTGAAGACACAGGTGAGGGGTAGAGAAGTTGAACGACAACCACCAGCAGTGCCACCACCTCTATAAGCGGAGCAAGAGCTTGATGGTGGAGTAGAAGTAACAGGCGCGGACTCGTTCAGATGCTGGAGGAGGCTGTTTAGGGCTTAGGGCATGAAAGAGAAGGGAGAGAGAGAGAGAGGGGGGGAAGATGAGCTACTACGGACTATAATTGTGAAGAGGTGTGGCTGAAGCTGAACGACCACCACCAGCAACGCTACCGCCTCCATAGGCGGAGCAAGAGCTTGATGATGGAGTAGAGGTAACTGGCGAGGGCTCGTTCAAATCTGGTGGAGGCTGTTTAGGGCTTAGGGCTTGAGAGAGAGAGAGAGAGAGAGAGAGGGGGGGAAGACGAGCTGTTTAAAGGATTATTAGGGTTTTTTGGTAGAGGATTTTATAAGGAGATAATTCAGGCGGGCGTTTAATTTTTTAGGATTTCATTTCCCCCCACCCCAAGAACGCGCGCCTTCCTAAAAAAATATAAAGCGACAAGATTAGACGACACGCTTTTTATGCTGAGTGCCCTCCGTGTTTTTTTCTTTTTTGTTCTGACACTAATTTCAAGGGAACATAAAAATGCGCGTTCTAAATCCTTCAAATTTTAGAAGAGAGGACATTATTTTTAGGGCATACACTTTTGCGTATCGTAAATCACTGCGTGTCATGGTTTGCACGTCATTAAAGGCTTATATTCTAGTAGTGTTTGATCCTCTATGTTTTGAAAAGTGTAAAACCTACCCTCAAGTTTCGAAATGTATGTTTTGTGATTAAAAGTTTAATTTGGACAATTTAAACTTCAAACCCTAGAATTTTACAAGTTTAAAATTCAACCCTATACTAATATAATATTACAAGATTAATATATATATATATATATATATATATATATATATATATATATATATATATATATATATATAACTAAATGCTAGTCTTACCGTTAGTAGGCCTCATTCACGAAGCCGGTCTATAAGGTGGGTATAAGGTTGCTACCTATAAAATGGCGCTTAATGGGTGTACACTCACACCCACCACTTGCTTGATCGGTGGAGGGTCATTAGCCGAATGGGTAGGATAGGGCAACCTCATCTCATCATTAAAAGTATAATATGAAATACAAAGTAACTACATGTTTTTCAAAAAATTCCCGATCCTAGTTACTTTAGGAAAAGTGAATTGTTGCAATCCCATGAAATTACACTTTGCACCCTTGCTAAGAAGTTAGTGGAGCGTGTGTGGTTTACCGGCACACTAATTGGTTCTAAGCGAAGGATGGCAAAAGGTGATTCGTTGTTTATCATAGCTCGATGGAGCATTTGTGGTTTACCGGCACGTCGAATAGGTTATCGCTACATTGAAGGCACCATGTGAATTTGCATGGTAATTCACACCCACTTTGTGATCCTCGGTATCCCAATCACAAACGAGAGGGGCATATCGAGACTTAAACATGCCATTGAAAAGTTTCAATGAATCTCATCCAAACCTAGGAATTCTCAACACATTTAGAACACAAAGTTATGTTTTCATGGTGGAGAATTAGTGAATTGTCATTCACTTACCTTCAAATTGTTTGCATGTTAGATTACGGCATCCCTTTTCTAACATGTAAATATTGTTGTTGGATCCTAGCCCTAATTTTCTTATTGGGTGATAATTAGGGATCCAAATTCTAATCTATCTTTGTCCTTTCTATTTGTAGATGTCGAACGCGAACAACGCTGCTGCTAGCTCGTTCACATTGATGAGCCTTTGCCAAAATGTGACTTTCGATGGAATGAACTTTAGCGAATGGATAAGATACATTCGCACGATTGCTCGCTACGAGGACAAGGAGTATGTTCTCGATGAGAAGCTCGAAAAATTAATCCTGAAATCGCTACTCCGGCTGAAATCACCGCTTTTGAAACTCATGAGCATGATGCAACGAAGGTTCATTGCATCATGATAGCCATTATGAACTCCGAATTCCAAAAGTCCTACGAGGACATGTATATGTACGAAATGCACCAAGACTTGTTGGAGAGATACCAGCAAAACGCGAGGCAAGAGCATTACGAGATTTTCACTAACATGATCTCCGCTAAGATCGGTCATGGTGAATCTCGAACCGTGCACCTGCAAAAGATGCAAAGGTATGTTGATCGTCTTCGCAAGTTAAATGTTGACTTTGGGGAAGACTTGGCAATCGACATGGTGCTTCACTCATTGCCTCCGTGTTACAACCAATTTAGGATGACCTACCACATGAACAAAGAAGAGGTCACCCTAAGTAAGCTCCAAGGTCTCCTTTGGGTTGCTAAGAGCAATCTCAAGGACAAGTATGTTGCACCTACTCCAAATCCACCTGCTGCTCCTGTTTTGTCCATTGGGCAAGGAAGAGGCAAGAAGTGGAAGGCTCCGTCTAAGAGCCACCACAAGGGAAAGTCCCGAGATGGCTCCTCCTCTAGTGGGACAAAAGTTGATCCTGCTAAGCCTACTTCTAACCCAAAGGAGGCAGAGTGCCACCATTGCCACAAAATAGGGCATTGGAAGAGAAGCTGCCCAGAGTACCTGCAAACTATCAAGGAAGGAAAGATCAAGCCATCTTTCGCAGGTATATATACAATTATATCTAATGATTCATGTCATGCTATTTCTTGGGTCCTCGATACCGGGTGTGGTTACCAAATTTGTTCTGAATTGCAGGGACTAAGAAGAAATAGGGATGTGGAGCATGGAAGAATAAATCTAATCATGGGGAACAGAAGATCGTCGCCTGTGACCAAGATTGGAGTGTATTCTCTAGTGCTTAGGAATGGTTTATCTTTACATTTGAACAATTGTTGCTATTCGCCAGAAATGGCAAGAAACATCATTTCATTTCATGGTTTGTTTAGACAAGGATTTAGATTTTCTTTTAATAATGAGAATGGTTGTATTTGTGCTTATCTAAGTGGTGTCTTATATTTTGAAGCAATACCATGTAATGGAATTTATGAAACTGTTATGATTGTAGATAACCTAGGAAATGATGTTTTATGCATGGATTCTTCCAATAGTATGGATAGAGCATCCTTGTGGCATTGTCGTCTTGGACATGTCAACAAGAAGCGCATAGCCCAACTCCAAAAGGATGGAGTGTTGGAGTCATTCGACCTTAGGGAAGATGACACGTGCGAATCTTGTTTACTTGGAAAGATGACTAAGTCACCCTTCATCAGCACATGTGAAAGGGGTGAGGGTTTATTGGACCTAATACATACCGATGTATGTGGACCGTTTAGATCAACCACGAAGGATGGGAACCGCTTCTATGTGACTTTTATCGATGACTATAGTAGATATGGGTATATCTACTTAATCAAGCAAAAGTCAGAAACATTTGAAAAGTTCAAAGACTTCAAGAATGAAGTGGAGAATCAATTGGGCAGGACAATCAAGATGCTTCGATCCGGTCGAGGAGGAGAGTACCTAAGTCTTGAATTCCACGACTATCTCAAGGAGTGTGGAATAGTTTCACAATTGACGCCACCTAGGACACCACAATTGAATGGTGTAGCAGAAAGGCGTAATCGAACCTTGTTGGACATGGTTCGCTCTATGATGAGTCATGCTTCACTATCTATCTCATTCTAGGGGTATGCCTTAGAGACTGTTGCCCATATCCTTAACCGAGTCCCTACTAAGAAGGTTACCAAAACACCTCACGAGATGTGGATAAGGAAAGCTCCCTCATTAGCACATATCAAGGTTTGGAGTTGCGATGCTTTCGTAAGATGAGATACTCACGACAAACTCGAACCTCGTAGTGAGTGATGTATTTTCATCAGCTACCCGCAAAAATCCTTTGGATATCTCTTCTATAGACCGAAGGACAATGTTGTCTTTGTTGCAAGGAGAGGAGTTTTCCGAGAACGAGAAATCATAAGCCAAGGAGATAGTGGGAGGCAAATCGAGCTTGAAGAGATTCAAGATTCGATAGATGAAGGAACCTCTACCGGTGGGACTCAACCCGAGGAGGAAACTCCGGTTGAACCGATTGACGAGTCCTTACCTCTTAGACGCTCCGAAAGAGTTAGAGTTCAACCCCAGTTATATGGTTTTCATATTACTACCAAAGGTGACACGTATATTAGTGATAGTACACTAATAAATCTAGATGAACCTAATAGCTATAAGGAAGCCATGGCAGGCCCGAAGTCTGCAAAGTGGAAACCGGCAATGGACAGCGAGATCCAATCCAAGTATGACAACCAAGTTTGGAATTTGGTTGATAATGTGCCCGAACGTAAGACCGTTGGGTGAAAATGGATCTTCAAGAAGAAGACCAACGTGGATGGAAACGTACACACATATAAGGCGCGATTGGTTGCGAAGGGTTTTACTTTAACTCCCGGAGTTGACTATGATGAAACCTTCTCTCCAGTTGCGAAGATAAAATCTATTAGAGTGATGCTAGCAATTTCTGCATTTCATGATTATGAGATTTGGCAAATGGATGTCAAAACCGCTTTCCTTAATGGAAAATTGGCTGAGGATGTGTACATGGCTCAGCCAGAGGGTTTTGTCGATCCGAAGCATCCAAATAGAGTGTGTAAGCTTGAGAAGTCTATTTATGGACTTAACCAAGCGTCTCGCAGATGGAATCTTTGCTTCGATGAGAAAGTCAATGAGTTTGGATTTGTACGAAGTGAAGATGAATCATGTGTATATGTCAAAGTCAGTGGGAGTATAGTTAGCTTTCTCATTTTGTATGTGGATGACATACTGCTCATAGGAAACGACATCCCGACACTACAGGAGATTAAGTCCTGGCTCGGGAAGTGCTTCGCTATGAAGGACCTCGGAGAGGCTTCCTATATTCTGGGAATAAGGATAGTGAGAGAACGAAGTAAGAGACTAATAGGACTTAGTCAAAACACTTACTTAGATAAGGTACTAAAACGTTTTAGTATGGAAAACTCGGAGAAGGGAGAATTACCAATACAATATAATGCCAAGTTGAGTAAGAGTCAAAGTCCGAGTACCGAAGCCAAGATAGCAGAAATGAGCCGAGTACCATACGCTTCCGCAGTTGGCTCAATCATGTATGCTATGACTTGTACTCGCCCTGATGTAGCCTTTGCTTTGAGCATGGTTAGTAGATATCAAGGGAACCTTGGTAGAGCCCATTAGATTGCGGTGAAGAATATCCTTAAGTACCTTTGGAGGTCTAAGGAATGGTTTTTAGTCCTCAGAGGGAGTGATG